ATTTCTGACACTTTCATTGACCTCTCTCGAGGTTTCAAACATTACACTAATCCCCTCGAACTTAAAGTTTTGGTAACAAATCAGTCCAATTCAGAAAAAGTACTATTAAAAAAGTATTTTGAGGTGTGAGATGATAATTTTCTTCCATATATGCCATTTTCTAATTGTCCTCAAGTTGCATTAGTAAAGAATAAAATAATTAATAAAAATCAAGGGATATACGTAAAATTTGAAAACATGTAGCAACTATAACCTGAATCAACAATGGTATTTGCACACAAATAGTGCAAATTGTAATGGCCATAATTTTTTGTCATATGCAACTACATATAAAAGACACAACTAACTCTATAATGCTATTAAATTATTAATATAAGCATCTAAATTTGGATAAAAAAATAATTTTTTTATTTTAGTTAACGAGGTGAAAGTAAAAGTATTGGTGCAAAAACCAGAAAATATACAACGCTTAGTCAATAAATCAACAACAAAAGGAAAAAATAAATAGTTTTGTCTGAACACCAGATTCAATAAAATAAGTCAATCAGAAAATTCTTCTATTTCTCTTGCTTGTAAGATCTATCTGTATATATTATATAAGATTGTCTGTCCTGATCATTGTCAAGTAATTATATCAATCACAAAAATAGCGCAATCTTAGAATAACAATTGATTCCATTTTTTAATTGTAATTATAGTTGCTAATTTGAGACGAAATAATATTTTTTTGGTTTAATTAGTTAATCTTATTTATTTAGTGCCCTAACCCTTTTTTTTTTTGTCAAATATCTATTTGTAATAATGCATAACGCCTTAGGGCGAAGTAGCACTTTCACTATATCTTATGTAAGTAATGGATCTAAATTTCTGACAAGGAAGGTTAGTGTAATATTTAAAACCTCAGGCGAGGTTTGTGAAACCATTCCTTTCTAAATTGCCAACTTCTAGGGTTTTCATGAAAGCTTGATGGCCATCAGACTTCTTCAAGATATGCCACCTTTAAAGCAATTAGAAAATAAACAGGAATTCCAGTGCAATCACTCAAAATATGACCGTAACCTTTTGACTTTGGATCCATGATCACCTGCAAAGAGGAGCTCAAGGGACACGTTATATGACAAATGGGGTTATAACGTTTAAAAAAAAAAAAGAAAAAAAAGAGGACCTTTTGTTAAGCATAACATTTTCCACGCGAGTACTTAGGAGCATTCTAATTTTCAACTTTTCTTTTAAACTTAAAAGATCCAAAATCAAGATATGAAAAGCAGTTGAAAATGTAACAACGTGTAGATTTTTCAAAACCAGAATCTCAAATCAGGTTTTGAAATTTAGTCGAGACCAAGAACTAACAAGCATTCTTAAGAAAGCAAAAGGCTTTGAGAAAATTATGATATTTCGTCGCTTATTTGATGGGTGCAGAATCTTGTGCGCCTCATGGCAATTTCCGATGAGCGCGCCTGTATTAATAAGAAAGCAGTTTAAAAAAGCTTCGACGGTAGTTAAGTTCATCATATAGGTCAAGAAAATGAATTAGTATGTGCTGGTCAGCTAGAGAAACTAAATTGGTGAGCATATGTAGTTTGGAATGAATGAGATCGATCCATCCTATTCCGGTGTGGGTGGATTACACTTACTTGGGTGATGAGGAACAGTTGCAGACGGCCGGGGGCCGCCTGCCTCTTTGTGCAGGACAGGAGCAGTACCAAGTCTTCTTCGAAATTATGTAGATTGTTTGTGGGACTGGAGCACCTGTGACTTTCTGTCCATGTCCACAATTGATCAAAGCATCTGGATCAGTCATACTATGGTTTTTGGTGGGCGCCATCATCTGCCTTGCCAACCATTGATGTTCTTTCTTTTTGTCCCAATTCAACAAACAGATCATAAGCTTCTCTCTTTCTCTTTTTTTTTTTTTGGGTTTTCTTTTGTTTTTTTGTTTGCTTCTTTTTTGAGTAGTGGTTTTGAAAAACGTCCATGCCCAACTATTTGTCTATTTGCCCCCTCTCCACAACAACCCCCCCCCCCCCCAAACACAAAAAAAATAAAATGAAATAAAATGAAAAAGAAGAAAAAAATAGAAAAACTGATTCATCAAATGGAGATATATATACCTCTCTGTTGAAATCATTGCTTAGCTCGATTTGAATCTTAAAATGATATACACTATTTGTTCTAATTAAGTTTCGAAGTCCATCTGCTTAGCTTCTACACTAGACCTTTTAACCAAAAAAAAAAAAAGAGGAATAGAACAGAATTAACAGTTCCAAAATACTTATGTTGTTTTTGGATTGCATTTTCCATCATTTTTTATGAAAAAATTACTGTAGCGATTTGATATATGTGAGGGAAAAATGTGATAGGGAAATGTGATCACGAAAAACGACTATTTTCTGACGGAAACAAGCAATCCAAACAAGGCCTTAAACTTGTACATTGCCAATCAGATAATGAAATATCAGTAGACAGAATTATGGCGATTTAAGCATATTTCTAAAGAAACATTGATGTCGAATACAAGGGTCCCAGAATTTTGGCTGTGTCTTATCGACAATGTTATCACCCTATACAGGCATAACACCAGATAAACAGCCCATGATCATGCTCTATTTTGTCCCATTATTGATTTTATTTTCAGGGAGCCATTGGACGTTATACCAATTACCACATCAAAGAAAAGGTACCAAACAAACAAGACAACTCAAAAAAAAAAAAAGAAAAGAGTGAAAGAATATCAAACAAAAAGCAAACAAGAAAATTGTGGTATTTCTTTTTGTGTAGGACTTCTTCCTTTCAATCTTTCTTTCATATCGAGTTGAGATTAAAAAAAGACGACAAAGGAAAAAGCTGTTAAATAACTTCAAGAACTCGCTAACAAACTGTTCAATGGATGCAGATTCGTAATGGTCTCATCAAACTAGCTTTTCTGCGTGGGATCTTGACAATGCCATCCATTATAACAGCATTTGGTCGGAGACGTTATATACGTTTGATAAAAATGCTGTCATTTTAAAAGTTTGTTCAACGTAATTTTACCAGCTAAATTTTGAAAATTACAAATTTTCCGTCAAATGGCCCTATGGCCCTTACTGATTGTGTGTTTATATGTGTGTTGCTAGGTTTGGTTCCAAAAATTTGACTAATAAGAATAATATAGTTCTTGACAATCCAATAAAGACAATAACTAAGAAAATAAATCAAACAGAGAAATACATGATTTCACGTGGTTCAATCGAACTGACCAGATTTATTATAACAGAAAGAGAGTATAAAATCAAAGAAATAATTCCAAGGACCAAAAGGCACCTAAAACTAAAAACATAACAGAGTTTAAATAACACAAAATATTTAAATGATACAAAGGTCCGTAACTTATTACTCTTTTAATTTGATACCTAATCAAAACTCCTTTCAAACTGAGAATTGAGTCTTCTGAAACTCTCTTGGTCCGATGCATATGACACTTGAGTTGATGACCTTAGTAGACTTCAACTTATTTAAATTTACTCTATTTATAACTATCAAGAAGATATATTTAAACTCAACATGTGCGCGTGTATATATATATATATATGTATGTAATGCAGAACTTGTGTTAAGCCCAGTTTCAAACGGAAAAAAAAAAAAAAAACTATTTTGGTTCTCCCTAGGTACGATGGAAATCCCTTACGTTACGCTACCGCAACAGCTGTATTCAGGCGCTAATAACGTATTCCAGAGTCGTAAGTGGTAAAAAATGCTAAAAAGAAAAGAAAAGTGGTTGAATTCCAATGAGGAAATTTAAGATGTTCACATGCTTACAATCTAATAATAATATTGTCAGCAATAGGCCAATTGGAAATAGATAACGGTACTAAAAGGCACTAATACCGTTATCTGTTTCCAAGTGGCGCTTGACCAGATAAGCTACTACTGCTAGTCAACGTCAGTGTATACGGAGAATTTGATCAGGTTACTGATCAAAATAGTTAGGTGATTACAGTTCACCAAAAACAGGCTCTCGTGTTTTCTTTTTTTTTTTTCCTTGTAAAATTCCTCTTTAGTCTGTTGTTTTCGTTGCAACTATTCGAATACGAGCTCGAGTCAAGATCGATCAATATCGAACTCGAATTAATCAAATCGAATTCGAGTTCAAAAATATCAAACTCGTTAGTAAAATTATATATATAATTAATATTTTATTATTTATTTAAAAAATAATTATTTTATTTATTTTTAAAAATAAAATAATTATTTTTTTATTTTTTGAAAATAAAATAACTATTATTTTTAAGCCCATTTTGATCCCATCGAGTTCGAGTTTCGTAAAATTAACTTGAGACTCAATTCGATTAGGCCAAAACTCGATTCGATTCAATTCGTTTGCACCCTAGTTGCAACAACGAAGGAAGAAGAAGAAAAGCCCATCAACACTGTGTTCTAATAATGTATCGGTATTCAACGCTAATGTTGGTAAACCAGCGTTTCGCCGTATAAATACTAGCAAATAATGTACCGAATACAATAAAGAATGAAAAGAGTAATCAATAAATAAATAAATATATATATATATAAACCCATTCACTGCCAGCGATCCAATTTTTAGAGCAAGCAAGACTGTCACAGAAAATAAAAAAAGGGTATGCATCAGTATTACTGTCTAGCTTTTATGGTTGGATTGAAAGGAACAGCTGCAATTGAGATCCAATTCTGGTCCAATGGGTGCTATAGGCAACTGGAAAAGGGGTGGTATGATCTACAAATGCAAGATTGATTTACTAGTACTTATGTCTGGATTAATTTTTTTGTGGCGATAATAATTAATCTTGTTCCCAGCTGTTTTGTTGACTACTCCATAATTAAGAACAAGAGGAAAGCCATAACTAAGTTGATATTGGTCCCCGCTTACAGCTTAGTAAGTAGCAAAGCGATGATTCATTATTATTAGCAATTAATTCCATGTTGCTGGACGAAAGTACCTAAACTAATTATGCACTCCCCGCAATCAAAGACGAAAAAACTCCCCAACGTCACCAAGAGCCATATAGCCATCCATGTACTCTACTCTATATCTCTGCTTTTGTGAGCGTTCGTGAATGGATAATATGGTGGAGCGTCCTTCTTCACTAGTTTTCTGATGAATTTTGGGTTGTCTAATAATGAATGCTACTATATAGGAGGAGTAGGGGGTACTGTAAAGAGTCTAAAGGACACATAAGACGCCTGTGCCAAATTTTGTTGGGATTACCATCATCATACTAAAAAGCCTTAAATGTTGTTGCCGACAATTTACAGTGAGTGACGAGGAAGAGAAATGGACGTGTTTGCATTAATGGGCAGATGGGAAATCTTGAATCAGGCTCAGAAATAAATTGGAGGCTTTTATGGAAGGAATTAACGTCATAACTGGTACTCTATAGAGCAGAATCAGAATGCCGTTGGAGGCCTTATTTCAAATGTTCCCACAGCGCCCCGAGTCTGTTTTGAGTACAGCAGGCTTCGCATAAAGAGTAGAAACACACACCCTTTCTGCTGTTTAGATGTATCTACTCGGGAGTGGATACAGAGGTACGGTATAATCATCAGGTTTCATCCCCCTTCCCCCTTCCTTTTATTGGTGCTTCTCTTCTTGAAATCTTTTGCTGCTTGGTGATTGACAGTATCTGATAGCTGCAGGCTGCTGAAATTTATGTTTGCACAAATTCTCCGGCCTTCCCATTTGTGAATTTTGTCACCTGTGTCTTCTTCTACATATCGCTCATGTTTCTGACGTATGTTTAATTTCTTTAGCAAGTATTTCACGAACTTTGAAGCTACAACTGACGTTTTTTTATTGCATTGCCCATCGGCTTTAGATGTCTCAGTCTGACAACTCCCACTCCCCCACCCCACCAATTAAAAAAAAAAGGGGTTGGGGGGAGAAAGGAAAAAAAAAGCCACACACACACCAGAGAGAGAACCTCCCTTTTGTTTCCTTCCCTAGTTAAGCAACGGGCGGAATCAGATAGGATGAAGCGCTTAATGACTCTTCTTGTTGAAGATACAATTCGAAAGAGTGTAATTGTCATTGGAACGAATCCAAATTGCGTTTTTAGGAAACAAAATGAGTGACATGTTATGTTAGTGCTTGGGGATGTGCTAGGTCTACTTTCTGGCATAGAATTCCCTTACTTTTGCACTTCAAAATTTGTAGGCCTGGGCTCGCTTTTGCTTTATGTATGCCCTTTTCCTTTTTTTGTTTGGATTTTCTATGCTAACTTTTTCATTTGGATTACTATTTGAATTGGTGTTTAAGTTTCTGGCCGACTGTTCTAGTACTAGAAGATTACAAGTATAATAATGTTTCCAAAAAGTGAGATCCACTTTTCCACCACTCGAAAGTCAATTACCAACACTTTTGCTTTTGTAGCTTTTCCTTTTCTGATCAAGTGATAAACTTTCACCTATGGTTACAATATGGCACTTCAATCATTTACTTGAGATGAAGGTGAGATGAGTTGATAGAGTCCATTAATGAGGAGTGCCTATGAAAGTGGGCATCTGCTTTACTCTCTTAGCTATCCTTGGTTTTCGATTCAAGTCCACTACTTTTTGCCCCTGTGAATATTAGGATGCAAGTTTCAATAGCATGTCTAAGTTTGAATAACTTTTCTTGGCATGGAGCCAAGAGTTTACATAATTAGTCCAAATATAGTATTGCGTTTGAAAAGCATTCCACAAACTCGGTTGCAGTCTCATGACTGTCAATATGTTATTGTGGAAGACAGGAAGAGTCATTTATTGCCGTCTCGGTCTTGTATCCTGTCTTCGCAAATGAAGAGTCTCAAATAAGAAAAGAATTTGACTTTTGGCTGTGAAAAAGCTGCAAAAAGGATGCTCTTTTCTGTATGAGAACAAATAGTGAAGAACCAGATCAATCATCTCAATGAGTCCTGATCTTTCCTTCAGCGGTTCAGTTAATCAACAGATAGCTCTTGCTTTCTGGTGTCATCAATCCCAGAACAATCACTGCTAAATGAGCTACTTGAAATTGGTAAACCTGCTGTTCCTCCAAATGATATCTTGTATGAAAAATGAGTATGAATTTTAGGAAGCTGCTATTCTCTTTATGAATTTCTGTCGTATCTTTGCCCGGGTTCATTTAAAATTAGTGCAGTTTTCTTTGTACCATTTATGAGGGAACTCTAAATTAGCAGCGACAGAAAATGTTGTGCCTGGATTTTCTCAAGGATAAGGAAAGCTGCCTTTATTTTTGCTTTTGCAATTGCTATGTGTTATTTGGGATTGAGTATTTTGCATTCATTTTCTGACATAAGCAATTGTAATCCCCAATCTGCATTAATTGGCTCCTTTGCTGAAAACCTTAGGCCAACTATTTACACGTTCTCATGGTCTTTGGTTAATGATCCAGGAGCAGCAGCAAGAACTAAATAGAAGCTGGAATCAGTCTGAAAGGCTCACGTCCTGAAGTGTGGATGGTCAAATGAAACTCCACTCCACATTTGCAGTTCTTCTTTTCCTTTTTCTTCAACTTTCATCTCTTCACCAAATTATTGCGGATCTGAACTCTGACAGACAGGCCCTACTGGACTTTGCCAAATCTGTTCCTCATCTTCGAAAGCTGAACTGGAGTTCTGGTGCTCAAATTTGCCGTTCCTGGAATGGCATCACTTGCAATAAGGATCGAACCAGAGTGACTGCCATTCATCTCCCAGGTGTTGGGCTCCGTGGTTCCATCCCAGAAAATACTATTGGAAAGTTAGACGCTCTTAGAATCCTTAGCTTGCGATCCAATTATCTAAATGGAAGTCTTCCTTCTGATATTCTTTCAATCCCTTCCCTCAAATCCCTTTATCTTCATCACAACAACTTTTCTGGTGAACTTCCTCTCTCTTTCTCTCCTCGACTTGGGGTGATGGATCTTTCTTTTAATTCTTTTACTGGAGAAATTCCATCAACAATAATGAACTTGACGCGGTTGTCCGTGTTGAACCTCCAGTTTAACTCATTTTCTGGAGCTATTCCAAATTTGAATCTCCCAAGGCTCAAGGTGTTGAACGTGAGTCACAACTTGCTGTATGGTCCAATCCCGGGCTCCCTTCAGAATTTTTCAATGTCTTCATTTGTTGGAAATCCTCATTTATGTGGGCCACCTCTGACTTATTGCTCTGCAGTATCCCCATCACCTTCTCCTTTACCTGACACTTTGCCATCTCCTCCTATCATTCCCGAAAAACAGCATGTGGCTAACTCCAAGAAACTCAGCACCGGAGCTATTGTTGCCATTATAATTGGGGGATCTTCTATACTACTACTTATTGGGGTAATGTTCTTGTTCTTCTGTTTGAAAAAGAAAGACAGTGGCGACAGTGTTGTGATGAAAGGAAAGGTGTCAAATGGTGGAAAAAGTGCGAAGCCGGAAGATTTTGGAAGCGGAGTACAAGAAGCTGAGAAGAACAAATTGGTGTTCTTTGATGGATGCTCTTATAACTTTGATCTTGAAGATTTACTAAGGGCTTCTGCTGAAGTTCTTGGAAAAGGGACCTATGGCACAACGTACAAAGCTGTTCTGGACGAGGGAACAAGTGTTGTGGTGAAAAGGCTGAGGGAAGTAGGGATTGGAAAGAAGGAATTTGAACAGCACATGGAAGCTCTTCGGAGTGTAGGGCACCATACTAACATCGTACCCCTGCGGGCTTACTACTATTCCAAGGACGAGAAGCTGCTAGTTCACGAATACATGCCTGCCGGCAGCTTGTCAGCATCATTACATGGTATCATTCACTTCAGTCCTCAATTTTTCATAGCATTTCTTTCAATCCCTGTTAATTGCTATTTGCACCTCATGATCATGATAGAACCTAATTATTTTTGGAACTTAGTTAAATAGAATAACGGAGTGAATTTGAACCGTTTGCTAAGTAGTCAATACTTCTTCAATACCTTCAATCAGAGAAAGAAAGATCCAGTACCAAAAATACTTTGCCAATCGAGCTTTCTTGTATCTGTATCTGTGAAGGATAGACGTAATCTCATGATCATTGTTTCAAGTCGATTCTTATGAATTAAAACTCGCAACATTCCAAAATCCAACCAGAAAGCATCTTTGTGAAAGTAACATTATTCTTGCATGTCAATGTTCAATACTTACCAGTCGTCAGGATTTATCATGTCAATCGTCAAATTGTTAATTATATTACCTTAGCAGGTAATAGAGGTGCAGGAATAACTCCACTAGACTGGGACTCAAGAATGAAGATATCGCTTGGAGCGGCGAGAGGCATTGCACACATTCATTCTGAAGGTGGTGCTAGATTTTCACATGGCAACATTAAGTCCTCCAACGTACTCCTCAACAAAGAACAGGATGGTTGCATAACAGACATTGGCTTAAATCCAGTCATGAATTTTCTGGGCGTGAAAACTCGAGGAATTGGTTACCATGCTCCTGAAATGATTGAGACACGAAAAGCCACCCAAAAATCTGATGTCTATAGCTTTGGTGTGCTTCTACTCGAGATGCTTACAGGCAAATCCCCAATCCATTCTTCAGGGCATGATGATGTGATTGATCTACCCAGATGGGTGCGGTCTGTTGTTCGAGAGGAATGGACTGCTGAGGTTTTTGATGTGGAACTGATGAAGTACCAAAATGTTGAAGAAGAGATGGTGCAGATGCTTCAGATTGCACTTTCTTGTGTAGCGAAGGCACCGGACATGCGCCCTTCGATGGATGAAGTTGTTCGGCTGATGGAGGATATCAGGCAATCAGAGCTGGAGAACAGACCCTCCTCTGAGGACAATAGGTCCAAGGGCTCTAATATGCATACACCTTAAAATGAGTTCAGGTTCTTCCCCATCTGTAAAGCCTAGAGCTACCTAGGACTCGTACTATTATTACTGCTTAGTTTGATTCTAGGTAATGCAACCATGCTCCAACAGTGCATTTGCTGCACCATCATGTGAGGATTTTCCTTTTTATTGGTTTTGCTGGACACACCATTTTAGGTCTTTCTAAAATCAGGGGCTGGCAATGTATGGTTTCGCAATATATTCAAATTGTTGATTGAAAGAATATCAAGCCTTGATCTTGTTAGCTTGCATGTACTGCATATTGAGGATGAGAACACACACACAAAGTAAAAAAGAAGGGATGAGAATTGAGAACAACAGAATTAACCATACTTCCAATTTCAATATATAGCTCCTATATTTTACTAGTTATTATGATGTGTACCGCTTCAAATGGGAGGTAATAACAAAGTACTCACTTCTGATATCTTTTGCTTATTATACTCTTAGATTAAAATTAAAAAAAATCATAATTTGATTACGAAATAAATTCGACTCATTTAAAACGTGGATCATTATTACCACTATCGGATAATGTTTCTCTGAAAAAATCATACGAATTTTCTATCTTTCGTCTTATATATGTATAACAAAGGAAATTTTCAATTAAACATTTTCCCCCTCTGCTCCTAGGTGACACATCTAATTTTAGAGAACTTTTTTGCATTGCTCCAAGGCTTAACAATTTCTCCGTATTATGGTTGATCAATTTCTCTCGTCTTATATGCATATTTTGATATTTGCTTTTTTTTTTTTTTTAATAAAGAAAAGTTTCAGAAGTTAGTTAACCACAACGACATTGCGCGCCTTCGTTGGCCGTCCTCTCCATTCCCCCCGCCTCAATCTTACGAGTCTACTAATTCTCCGCAATTTTATCTTCTTGGGTTTCTTTTTATTTCCTTGTTTCTGCCCCAAAAATGCTGAATTACCCCAGGCCAAGGGTGGTTCGTTTCATGATCCTGAGGTAATCTTGCTTTATTTTTTGGATTTATTGTACATGAACATTTCTCCGTGAGCTTATATCCTGTATAAATTTTTATCCTTTCATCCAATTGACGATGGTGGAATCCTTTATTATGCAACAAATTCTTCTTCTTTTATTTTGCTGTTTTCTTGTTCCCGTATCTGTTTTCATGCTCCAAGCCTCTCGGCGGCCAGCTGGTGAATGGAAGTGCAGCCATTTATTAGAAGTTACTACTACTAATACAGAATCTCCGTGTACCTGCGTCGAGAAGGAAACATAACTGGCTCAGGAAAATGCAATATGGGGCTTAATAAATAACCGAAACAGATGAGATGCAAATATGTAATCATGCAATGAGCGGAGAACAGGTTATGCAGGTGTGAGTGAGGAAGAAACTAGAGATATCCAGGAAGATGTCAAAACTTCTGCGCGAAGAAGAGATGCACAATTAGATAGGCCGACGATGCTATAGGAAGTTATAACCAAGGGCTTGAACCAATAATGCGAATCTGCTATCCATCATTTTGAGGTTTGAGCTCAGGGCAAAACATTGATAACATAGACTAGATTGGAAATTCATGTCCTTAATGCCCTAGGGAGGATGTAAACACCTATCCAATGCTCTGGGCACAAAGATTCAAGTAAATCCCAAACATTTATGATAGAAGGAAAGATACAGCTGCATATGACAATTGAGAATTATTCGCCACATGTTATCTGTTCAGCAAAAGTTTCGCTTGGCTAGTAAAGGGCATCGCGTCATTATGTTGAAATTCTAAGACGACAATCATCAATAGTTTAATCTTTACTTCAAGTTGAATTAGAAAGGGAATGTTTACAGAAACTTCTAGCTATGAACTGCTTGTAGAGTTTTACAGTTGATTTTGATTATGTACCATGTATCTTGACCTTCCAAATGCATATTCCGCAGATTTTCTCCTTGTAGGAAGCTTTCGTTGAAGTTGATTCTGAATATGAACGTATATCGTGGCTTACCAACTGCATCATTTGTTCAACATAGTGCCTTATAACATCTTAATCCCGTGGATTTTCTCTTTGTAGGTGGCTTTAGTTGAAGGTTCAGCTGTCCATTCTCGATGGGACTTTGCTGGACTAAGGTAAATTATTGGAGTTAAGCTATGTTCAATATTGGCTGTTCTTTTTATCCCCATCTTTACCTGATACAGTTGCCTTCAGCTTTTTGGGTGCCGGCTGTCACATGCTTTTACTTCCCGGTGAAAAAAAAAAAAAAAGTCACCAACCTTTTCAGCTGATGAGCATGCCTTAAGAACGTATTCACGGACGACTGGGACTAGCTTCAGTTTCTATTTCAAGTTTCTATTTCAAGCTTACTGTGTCATTGCCTTCCTTTGCCCTATAACTTATTTATTTTATGCTCCTTGAATGGAAATTATTTGTTTTATCTATATCAATTGGGACTTGTAAAGTATTATGATCCATGCAGTTAAATACAGGAAATGATGCACATTCTCAATTGCCTACTGCAGAGCTCGCCTACAGAAATGTCCATCTCGTAACCACTGTGGATAAGTGGGAAGAAAAGTTGTCAGAAGCGAACAGGGATGGCAAAATAGTAAGTATCTCCACTGTTTGTCTTCTGTACTGCTGCAAAAAAAAAAAAAAAACATTTATCTGTGAATTCTAGCAGCCTAAGTTTGGACGTTGATTGATCTTGTGTTGTGGAAGAAAAGGAAAAGGAAAAAAAAAACAGTAAAAGCATGACTAATTATAATGGCCATCAAAGCCAAGACAACATTTTACCATTTTTTTTCCCCAAAATTTGGCCAGGTGAATTAATTAAAACATTGCACTGAAAGTGTTCCATCTGGTAATGACTCGCAAGCCAGCATGATATATTAATGAATATGAGTGTGAATCCAGTTCATGATTAATTTCTTCATGGATTCTTGAAAACTGTCACTTTAAGTAATTTCATTTTTTCCCTTTATGATGTATCTGTCCATGTTGATTCTTGATTCGAAATATAGAAAGGAAACACGTTATATGAGTTCAGAATTCTGAATCCACACTGCTCATTCCTTCACACAACTTTAATGTTTGATACTGTCCTATCCTATAGGTTGTGGTCAATTTCAGTGCATCATGGAGCAATCCTTGTAGATCCATTGCACCTGCCTACAATGAACTTGCAGACAAATATCCCTTCATGCTATTCTTGACAGTGGATGTAGATGAGTTAGCCGTAAGTCAATCTTTTTTTCTTTTTTTTTTTTGCATTACTTCCTTTGGAAGAAGGGATCAACATCTTAAAGCATAAGTTTAGCTTTGCTCCTTCTGATCAGATGCCACATATACACAGACACAGATCATATACAGACACATGCACATACACTGGATATCGTCCATCAAAAACTACTAAAATTTGATATAGTTTGGAACAGGAGCTCAGTAATTCGTGGGAAATCAAAGCCACTCCTACGATTTTCTTCCTCAGAGAAGGCAAAATGGTAGACAAACTCGTAGGTGACAACAAACAAGATCTCCAAAAGAAGACAATGGCCATTGCTGAATCTTGTTCAGATCTGACAACCCCATGATTGAGTTGCCTGTCTTCCGAATGTCTGAGGCGTATATCAATTTTCTTCAGCAATTTTGATACTCTAATCTTTGGTACTGCAAAGAACATCACTTTAGTTCAAGTAGAATAACTTTCCATGGGAAAATGAAGATATTGGGAAGAGGAATGAAGATTTTTACAAGAAACTACTGTCCAAGGATGATGATGTACCAAACAGTAATTGAAACCCTTTTCATTTTTGTTTTATCTTCAAGCGATATTACTGCATCATAAAGTTATTCATTAACATAACGTGAGACGAGCTCCCATGTACATATCCTACTTTTTTTTTTCCCCAAGCGGTATTGACTTGAAGCTGCTAAAGCGGAACTGCAGCAAAAGAGAGAGCAATGGAAGGGGAAAGTTTATCTCGAAAATCGGATCTCAGAGATGGAAATGCCAATCCTAATGCTCTTGCTAATTAAGGGATTTACTTGGATTTTATTCATTGCATATTTCTGTTGTTTAACATGATCTTGATGGCGGAATTTCAAAACCTCCTGGGTGAAATTAATGCTTACTATAGTCTGTAAAACCACCACCATTCCAGTTTCTGGAATCAGGTCACAGAGCATCGCACGAAGGGTGAATTTCACCATGTTCTCCTATCAAGGCAATGGATTATTAATTGTTTGGAACTTTGGAGGAGATTTTCTGGATGCACTTTTGAAAGACGAGCTTGCCCTTGTCCCTGTTTGCAGAAAACGAACTCGTATGGGTTTGTGTCCCAAGCCTCGCATTTTCTCCTTTCTTCATCTGTTGCGAACATGCACGAATTGAGGTCGCTAAAGAGCGCCTTTCTTATCTTACAACGGATTGTCGCCCGAATCTTTTGACAGTTTCCACTGACTGTCAATGCGACATATGAGCCGGATTTTCATAAATTCAGAATTAATTTATTTAATTTGTAACACTTTTGGACTTTCGGCTATGAGTTTCGAAATGCTAAATGTGATAATCATACTCAACTCATAAACTATTCAGATTTTGAGCATTATACGGACTTAACCCAAGTTCACTTATTACTCTTCAATTTTCTTAATATAATTACTATAACTATTGAATTGTAAAACTAATTTAACATTCATAGGACTACGACATTAAAACTAAATGAACAAGTAATAGGTTTTAAAAAGTACATAAATCAATAAATTTTCAACAATATTTATATCTAATTCGTTCAAAGTACATGAAAAATAGTAATAAAATATGTGATTATAAACCAATACATCTTCAAAGATTGGAACTTCTTCATAGTTTTGTGACTTGAATCCAAACATGTTTGATGATTTGTGTTTCTAGACCAAAAATAAATCAATCAATATTATGCCAACATAAAAATTTACTCAACCAATATGAAAAGTTGAAAATTTTGGTTATGCATTACCAATATTGACTCTCAAAAAAGCTAGTAGAAGAGTCTTCAAATGTATTTTTGTATTTTGTAATTTGTATATATTCAATATTTAATAAAAATATATTTGAATATGTAATTATATATAATATTAAAATATAAATATTATATATATCATTATATATATAAATAATTTAAGCATCGAGCCTATATCAAATTTAAGTTTAATGAAACCCAAACTCGACTCATATTTTATTCTGATCTAATTTTTAGATTCAAACTCAAAACCGACACGCTAAAAGATTGGATTCATCGAACTTTTTTTCATACCGAACGAGCCAATGACGGACTAATCCAGCCCCATTGACGGACCTAGTTTCCACCTAATTATCGACGCTCGTTGGGCAAAACTAATGACCTCTTGCAACACCACACGAGGAACACTAATTTCTTGGTAGGTGCAAATATTTTCTATAATTACCACTACACAAACAAAATATGAAAAAAAAAAAAAAATCACTCGGGATTCTTCAGAAATACTACCTCCAGTGACGAAGAAGAACACGACAAAGGAGCACTGGAGCTTACACACAGCAGAGCCCATGAAGGGGCCAACTAACACTTCAAACTACGGTTTATCTTATAGATTGTAGGAATGCAGATGCACGCCTCACATGGTAGGAACCCTGGAAGGGAATGCAACTGCAGGCCTCACATGGTTGGAACCCTGGAAGGGATTCTCAGCACATTTTGGACTAGCAGGTTTTAAATACCAGAGCCCATGCAGGGCAGGGGCCGACTAACAAGTCATATTTATTACTTCTCAAGATTGTAGAAATGAAGCTGCAGGCCTCACATAAGTGAAACCCTGGAAGGGATTCTCAGCACATTTTGGACTAGCAGCCGGAGAATCTACTACAGGCATGTTGGTCCAGCACTCATCAAAGTTGGCAATGCAATGTTTGCCGGCAACCTCTGGAAGAAAACTTGGTTGAATTTCGCGAGCCTCCAATTTCTTCCAGTTAATAGACCTGAACCACTTGTGGCCTTTTATCTCTTCACTACCTGTTGGACCACTTCCAAGCCGTCTGCTTGTGTCCTTCTGCAATAGCTGAATAAAAGAATAGAAAACACTAATTAAACCACACATACTGTACAATTAGCAATGAGAAAAGCATGCCCATCTGAATGCATTATTCGTGAACGGTATTATCACGCAAGCAGATAAAATAAGGATAAATTTCCCCAATCCCAAATACAACATAAATGTCGATAAATTTCCCCAATCCCAAATGGACCCAGTTTTTTTTTTCTTTTTTTCTTAAATTTCTCTTGCCCTCTCTTTCCAAAATCTTGTAGAGAGTAATTCATCTCAGTATAACAACTTATTTCATTGATATGAAATTACAAATGCTATCCAGGCTCAAGTAAAACTATAAAAATCAAGGGCACCTTCAGCCAACTTAAACAGAAACTTTAACAAGTGTAAGAGAACAAGGTTATTTACCCCTTTCAACAATGAATGCACATCGCTTGATAGAAAAGCTGGGAGCTTGACTTTGTCCTTTAAAATCCTCTGCTGAATTTTCTGTCGGTTCCCACTAACAAAAGGCGGCTGCAAACACAGTAATCAGAAGTAAGACAACGATAATAAAAATATTAAACATTTGGAATTGGCAATGGCAATATAAGGTGTTAGCAACCATTTGGGTTGGTTATAGGCTTCATGGGTAAGCAAACAGTATTATTACTATTTTACACAAAAAATCAATGCAATGCAGGAATTGCATGATATCACCTGCCTTCCACTTGGAAATGAGTATCCTGATGATGATAGCAACAGAAGAACAAATCAAAGGAAAAGAAATTGATAATTGTGTGCCATGATGCTCCATCAGACAATAACCGCATGATTTAACAATAACAACAAGCATTAAGAAACAAATTTCTTCACTTGCATACATAATTAAACAGGGACAAATCAATGGGAATAAAATCAAAATCACCCATTTTATTCCTCATAAAGAATCACATCTATGCAAATTTTAGTTTCCCATTCTGAAAGTTGGATATAAAGACTCTCAAACTAATTGTGTCACTTTGCAAGATTAAATTCTAAACGAAGCAAATGCTAAACAGTTATGGCTGCTATCAACTTAATGCAGAAGGGAAAAACTAACTAAAATGGTGATTTCATCAATTTGTCATAAACTGAAAAAACACCAGAATGAAACAAAGATTACCACAAGCATTCTCAAGACCAATGTACAAATCATTGCATCCACAAAATAGCATGGCAACTTACATAAGTTCTTTGTCCACATGGAGGATGGCCACATCTTTGAATTTCAAACTTAAAATTTTAAAGAAAGTTGTCTAACGTATATAAATACACTAACCTTTCCTGTTAGCATCTCATATAACAAAATTCCTACACTCCACCAGTCAGCAGCCTTATCATGACCTTTCCCAACAACAATTTCAGGTGCCATATATTCCACTGTTCCACACATGGAGTTGGATCTGGTGTTCTCATCAAATTGCTTGGCAAGGCCAAAATCAGTTAGCATCACCTGCATGCAGCACAGGGAAGAAAACTTATAAGACATGTCACAAGCAACAGCGCATGAGCATATGGCTCAATAAGTAACTCCAACACAGAAAAGAAAATAAAAACACAGATGTCTTACATGTCCCTCTGCATCCAGAAGTATATTTTCAGGCTTTAGATCCCTGTGCATGATTCCATTTGCATGTAGATGAGATACAGCAGATACAATCTCAGCTGCATATATTCGAGCCAGATCCTCTCTGAACAGATGCTAGTGTTAGACAGAAAACTCTAAACATTCTCACATTGTATAATAGAAGTGATTTCCAGTACCTGAATAAGCCTTGGCGATACAATTGAAAGAAAAGGTGGCCTCCATTGACAAAATCAAGCACAAGGTACAGTCTATACTTAGTCTACACCAAAATAATGGGCCATCATTAGAATTAGATGGCCAAGTGAACCCAAGTGAAAGAAAGAATACTTCTATTCAATGAAATAGTTGGCCAAAATTTGTAGTCTTATAATAGTAGGAAGATGCAGTATATGTACATAGACTATCAACTAATAAAAGATCAAGAAATAGTATAGGAACAAATGCAATGTGACAGTCCACAACTGGGACACAGTTACGGATGACTCTAAGTTCACACATAACCAAAGAAAAAATATATTACAGGTTTATCTGCCAATCACTTTAACTTCAAAGACAATATCTTTCCAACCTTTATACTTTGAGCTACTCAAATTTGGCAAATGTTGTGCCCATAATCTGCCAAGTAACTTTGTTTCTCTGACTCATCATAGCAAAAGCAACATTTATCTTGATTCATCCAATTAATCAAGCAAAAAACAAAGTATAACATAAAGTGAATCCTAAAAAATGGATGAAAAGCGATTGAATTCTTTAAGTTTAACCATAACCAGACAGTTATTTAGGAAATATTAACTAAAAAAAAAATTTAATCATTTGAAACATCAATTTCCAAACTCCTCTTGTGATCTACATATTTTTTTCCTTTAAAATTTTGACACTGACAATATATGAGCTAACACATATATCCTAAATCAAACAATACATGAGCTAACACATATCACAAATCAAACGGATCAAACGGTTTGGGATCTCAACCAGGATATCTCACATTTGCAACCACCATCCAAGCTCATACGAATACAAAAGAAATCCGAAAAGTTTCAAGTACAAGAGTTGAAATTTTGTGGTTTCCAGTATGTTTAAAGCATCCAATTTGAAGTAAATCAGGAGCAATTGTCATGCTGTTGCGCTACACTAGCTTCTTTCTATATAATCATTAGCAAAAGTAATTACTTATTAAAATCGCACCCCCGCAATAAGAAGTTTCAACCATAGTCTCTATTAACATGTTATTAGGGATAACTACTTTTGCAATTTACTCCAAGCATTTTATACACTGAGAGGCGCACACACACACATAAATACAAAATTGACAAATCATTTAAATACGTAAATCCTGCATTGCTCACTGGTTATAAATAGCAATCCAACCCAATTGAAAATGATGCTTTTTCATATTGGCTTCCATGTTAAATTGTTAATGTCTATGTCTTAGACAAGTATATCCATTTTGGAATACTAATCATTACGTTAAGTTCCAAGTCAACAAGCGAATGATTACCAAGTAACAGAACATGTGTTTAAAAAAAAAACTTAATTAGTCCACAGATATGGTTCCGTGGTCAACCCCAATAAAAAGATTGACATCAATACCTGGAAAGAGTATCTAAGCTGAACAATGAAGGGATGATCAATTTTTGTCAATATATCCCTCTCAGCTTTCATATACTCAGCATGATTCTTCTCCACAATCTTATCCTTTCTCATGACCTTCATTGCAAAAATCTCTGATGAACCAAGCTTCCTTACCTGATAAACTTTTGCAAATGCACCTTGGCCAACAACCTTTAAAACTTCAAAGTCCTCAAGTCCAATCACACTTAATGGCACGCCATCATCTTCGATAGCTTTCTTTAGAACAGAACTTTCAAGGGATAATTTCTCAAAACTTCCTTCAGCCTCTCCATTAACTCGCTCTACAAGTTCCAGTGACTCCTCACTCTCATGTAGTGTGAGCTTGCTGAGCTTGAAAGCTTGACTAACACAATTTGTGGGACCCACCAAAGAATGGGAGCGGCTGTAAATTACGTCTGGGTCGTCAAATGTTAACTCGTTTGCATCAGGAGAAGCAAAAACATTTATTGGATTCTCAAAGGTCAGGTTTTGAGGTCCTTGAGTTGGTAGAGGACCAAATACGTCAGCGAAGTCCAGATCAACTGGATCTTCCGGAAGGACATCAAGAGGTCCTACTGGAAGAAACACGAGATCATTGAATGGCTTTGTCAAGGCATTCCCGGCCAAAGTTGGAAGCCGAGAGGAAACCATGACCACAACAAGGCAGGAAAGGGATAGGGACAGTGACAGGTATGGTCGACTAATTTCAAACTTAATAACTATAGAAGAATCTGACTTGGAGGTAGAACGAGAGTTGAGGATGAAGGACAGCGAACAATAGCCTTAAACAAGAGGAAATTCATAAATATGACAGTGATTCCGAGAAATCTAGGAAATAGGCAAATCAAAATAAAGAAAAGGAGATTCTTCTTGTTTCCCACTTTACAGGAAACAGTTGATGCAGCAGTGCTTCTTGAATTCATGAAGATCAGGCCAACAAGCTGCGACTCAAAGACGAAAGAGCAAAAGTCAGGAACAGAAATGCAGCAAAAAAAAAGGCAAGAAAGATGCTGACATAAAATGAAGGATAAGATTATGGACTTCACTAAATACAGAGACAAAGGCCCCAATGCTTCCAAAAAAAATGATTAAGAGAAAACCAAAAAAGGTATGAAAGCCACCAACGGAAGCAAAATATAGTTCCCACTGAAGAGCATAGAGAGGCTTCATTATTGAAAAAGACCGATGCCAATGTACCTTTGCTAATAGCTAATCACATAAGCACCAAAAAAAAAAAGAATTACGTTACATGCGGCAAATTCAGATCAGCAACCAGAACAACAAAAATAAATAATTCCAGTTTAAAACCATAAAGTTCCCAGGAGTAACAAAGATCTATGCATGAAAATTCGGTTACTCAAAAGTATCAACCAACCAATTTAATAAACAAATCAAATCTACAGGAATCAACGGAAACCCTAAGCGGACGAGTCTATATCCGAATTTTATTTTCTTCCCCAAAGGAAGACGACTTGCAAAAACGACTCAACCAGTCAATAGAACAGGTAAATTGAACGGAAATAAAGGAAATTGGAGTGGAATTTTACCTGGAGAGGAGATTGCAGAGGGAACAACAACTCTGGAACGGAGCTAAAGCGGAGAGGAGAAGAAGAATAACAACAGAATAATAAAGGAATAAAACGTCGCGTCGCCGCTGCTTATAATTTGTTGACTTTTGTTCGTAAAATTAGGGATAATATCAGAAACCTCTCCTGAGGTTTCTCTTAATATCACCTGGCACCTTTAGAGTTTTAAAAATATCACATATCTCCCTCTTTTTTTTTATTTGTGTAATAAAATTTTTAAAATCTCTAAACTACCCTTCAAATTATTAAATAAAAATACTCCTAAATCACTTTATTTACTTCAACAAAACCATCACATAGCAAATAATTTCTAGTAGTGCTACCACATCATAATGCTATAATTCATAAAATATAAATTTTAAAAATAAAAAGATATTTACAAAGAAATGCACTTGGCTAATTTAATTCTATATGTTCAAAATCCATTTCTTATAAACTTTATATTTTTTTTCTAAATTCTTCTCAATTCGTGCCAAAATTTTTAAATTATACGACTAATCATTACAAAAATCAGCTCAAAATAAATAAATAAATTATACTCCACTCTATCACAATTAAAAAAGGAAAAGATAAACAAAATTCAATTTATTATAATTTACAAATAAAAAATTACATAGTCATTCAAAAAATGAGTAAGAGAGAATGCTATAAAAAAGAGAAAGAGAATAAAGTGACTTTTGTTTCTTTTTTAAAAATTTTTGAATTTCATTTATTTGATATGTAAATTATGTATCAATTGAGAGTTAAATAGTCATTTTGCAATTACTAGAGGAGGTAAGTATTTTTAAAATCTCATGGGTGCCAAGTGATATTAAAAGAAATTTCAAGGGACGTTTTTTATATTACCCCATAAAATTAAAAAGTAGTGGAGGCGGGTGATTACGTGGCGCATTAGGAGTGGTGCTTCGCGACTCGAGGGGCCAGGGCAGCCATGGGAGGTCAATTTTGGCTTGCCAACCAATGGCGTACGTTTCCGCACCGCAGCATATCCTTCTTTCTGATCCGAAGCTCAATTATTTTGATTCGTTCCGGATTCGTTATTTTCTTCTAGTAATACTAGGAGGTTATCGGCTGTGCTAAGCACAGCCTAGGCCCCCTATAATCTGTTGTCATATATTTTCATATAAAATAAGATTAACAGTAATGTTTGTGAAATAGCATTCTTAAAATTATAAATTACCAATCAAGTATGCAGCTAACAATATGAGACTAAACAAAACAAAAAAATCATTAGCATTGCAAAAGATAAGAGAAGATGATAAAAGATTGGCAAGTAATTTGACAAACAGCTTAACATCTTCAAGTGCAAGTTAGTCTTACAGAGATAGGAGATGACTTGCTAAATACTTAATATAAAGTGCGATCATAGGCTGCAATTACAAAAGATCACATATTGAGATCCATTAAGGTGCACAAAAGAACAAGTGGTTAATTGATCACAGCCAACGCCCATTGAGATTAATTGATTGCTGTCAAGAAACAAGGAAAATTTATAAAACAATATGAAAAGGGAATTTGTTGTTAAATGGAAAGAAAGTTAAATATCTATAAATGAATGAACATATGCAAGATGTTCATTCTAAATTGTAATGATAATAGAAATTTTTTTTTCAATATAGCATGACATTGCTAAATCCCAAAAAAAAAACAGGTACACTGGATTTTGAAAATAGTAAAACAATAAAGGAAAATGTTAAAAAAAAGATTTAGTGGTTAAGGTGTCGATTTGCAAAATATATATTGGCATAAAATAATTTGGGCTCTTTGTAATTAAGATGGTGCTATCAAAGATATTCATCATGTGCATGTGTAGATGGTGGAAGGAGTGTACTAAGAAAAATTTGAAATTAACTAACATTTTTTTGTAGTTATGTTCATATCAGTGTGGTACGCACAGCCAATGCCTATTGAGATGTATTGATTGGTGCCAAAAAATGTGGAAAATTTAGTTGTAGAAGAAACGTAAAGGAGAAGAGTTTATAAAGCACTATGAAAAGGGATTTTTTGTTGAATGTGATAAAATAGTTCATTTTAATAAGTAGTCAATGGGAAGAAAAGTATTTTATTGAAATATGGCTGAAAGCTAAGTAAAGATATCAAAAATTTATTTAAAAGTTGTTTGCTTTTTAAACATTATACATTTTCAATTTGACAAAAACTGTGGCCACATTTCCCAAAAAGTTAAATATGTATAAATGAATGAATATATGTAAGCTATTCATTCTAAATTGTGAAGAATAAATAATAATGTTTAGTTAGTAATGTTGGCGAGAATGAAAATTAGTGAAAATGCGTACAATCAAATGGAAGCATAAAACGCAACTATATTATACAGGCATATTAGTGAAAATTAGTAATGCTGGAAAGAAGTTCTAATTATACAGGCATTCTAAACACGAAAAGTAGACAAGTTTAATTTTAATCTTGAATGTTTAGGTTGTGGAAGTTGAGCTGATAAACGCCAAGACATCACAAAATAGCATTTTTTAAATCTCCATCATCCTCTTGGACGTGCAAACATAGTACAGCAGAACCCATTTGATGTACATTATTTTCTTGGACGTGGCAGCTCCAGAGTGGAAGTTCAGCTTATTTCTGCTCGGCTGCAATTTGCTTGTTTCATTGGAGGAAGTTTGTTCAGCTGCTAAAGTTTGGCTTATTTCACCTCGGCTGACATTGGTGAAACGTTTTACTAAGTCACTTTTGGTCAAATGCAAAAGTACATTATTCTTTTACTTCCCGCACGTGACCTTGCTTTCTGTTTCCTTCATTTGGTAGTGCATTGGTCTTCAGACTCTTCACAGGAAATCAGGAACGACTCCACCAACCCCAACCAGTCCAGTCTCGAGACGTCCTCTCCCTTTGTTTCTCATGGGAGAAGGTTACTTGCTCCCAACTTTTCAGTGATAGTACCGGGTACCCTTTTCTCCACTGCTTTCATTAGCCATCCGACTCCCTCTCTCTTAACCCTTACTTTCTCTTACTTCTCATCTTCTTCCTCATTTTTTTCTTCAACAATTGTGGCAGCAAAAGCTGACCAAACTTCTCAATCAAGTGTTAGAACACGCTTGAACACAATCACAGGCATATAAGTAGAAGATAAAGATAAACAAATCACTGAACCTTCCCCTTAATGCTTGCCAATTCTCCCCCTTCAGTTAGAAAATTACACAAAGAACTTGTATGCATAACCAATAATAAAACAAAATGTTTCCATCGTTTACAATCAATGCCAAAGTAACGCTATAGTTTCATTAGAAATGATTTGACCTTTTTTATTTGATAAAAACTTGAGACTATTCCTAAACTCATTTTATTCCTAAGCACATTTATTTTGTTATAGCTATGTCACCTTAAGTTGAATCACAATTTTCATTCTCAAGGTGAATTGTGAAAAATCTTGGGAAAATTAAAAGAAAGTCACCACCAGAAAATAGAACAGTACCTAACCATCTAAAGTGCAAATGAGTGAAACTCTTTTATTACCAGAAGTACTAAAAGCATGTTTAAGAAAACAATAGAAATAAAAGCATACTTAAGAAAATAATAGAAGTCAAAATGCTTAAATCCAAACAACACTTCTGCCTTATAGAAAGAGAAAATTCCACCATTCATTTCACAAGCACAAAATGAGATTTATCATTAATTTTTTGAAGTCAAGCATCCCATGAAATTATCATCAAAAGTCAAGCCCTTCTAGGCTGTAAACAATTCCAGTCAACAACTTACATATTGGAAGGTTTACAAATTGAAAGAAATCTATTGCAAGCAAATACATGAAAAGGGATTAAAGATTAAAAAAAAATAAAGCAAGATTTGCCCCAGTGGAATGAACCACTTATTATTTGCAAGCATCAAATGCAAAGCATTATCTATTGTCTTCATTCAAATGAATTCATTGAAATTAACAAATATGCAACTCGGCAAACTAAAATCGAAAACCCAATTATTAGCAAATACATCAATGTCAATGATTTTAATAATCAGTGCACAAGTTGAGACTTGAAAATTTAGAAGAAAGAGTCCTATTTCGTATCACTTAGAACATAGTTAACATACTACCAAAAACATATAATTAAATACAAATTCCTGATAATACATAGTTGCAGTGGACAAACAAAACACATACATGTTGTAAAAAGCCCACAATTTCTTGATAACTATTAAAGAACAAAAAGTATGACAGAAAGTACCTTAACTAACCACCGAATGTTAGATAACAAATCTTAATGTTCGTCAGCTCAGTATAGAGACCTGACAATACACATTGAATTAGGGAAATTGGAAAAAAGAGATTAAAAAAAGGTAAAATCATCTATTGAATGTACGTGATAAATGAGGTGGAAAGAAAAAGCCATCTTAAAAGGCAATAATACATATTATTGAGGAAATTTGGTGTCTCCATAATGAAAAAAAAAAGAGTTCTGAGAACCAAAAATTTCTTTTACTTTCCTGCAAACAATTCAATGAGGTTGTCCATGTTATCATTTTTTTTAAGGTTTTGTAGTCTAGAAACATAAGAGAGAATATCAAGAGATGGAATGATTCATGACTTAACAAAGTAGAGGAGGAAAGGACCTATTTTTTTCCCCCAAAGATAGCTTTGAAAAATTAATTTGCAAATCTTGATCAATTCCTAAGGTCATCAAAAAAAAAAACAATTTGCAAATTTCAATAATAGGAAGCCTACAAGTGAACATAAATACTAAAGTCACAACCTATTACCCTCAATCTTAGTAAGTATGGAACTCGTAAATTGTTACATCCCTAAAAGCTAATGAGCAAAAAAATACAATTTATTGTCTCATGAAATTCAATCGAGTAAAATAATAAGAGTTGAAAGAGGAAATTTTATACAAATAACTACACAACGAAATTACTAATTTGTAAGGTGGCTTAAAAAACATAGGGAAAGAAAAGAAGGCTTACCTCTCTGTCGAGAACATAGATCTCATGAAACTTGTCATAGAAACCTGAAACAAGAGTAAACTATAATGTACATATAAATACTAACGATAAAAAAGAAAACATAAGACAATCATGTACAAAAAAAATTTCCAAGATTGCACTTGAAGGGAACATATATCTAAATTTTCAACTACACATCCAAAAATAAATCCAGAAAGCCAATATATACAGAAAGATATTTATTTTTAAAAGAAATCAAATTTACTGTAATTTCTGCAACCTTCCCTCAGACCATATACCCGACAATCCATCAAAGCCCATAAAGAGAAAGAGATCATCATCATGGTTTCGTCTCGGAATCCAAGTTCCATAGCATCAGAAAGAGAAGTTGCTGATAATCTTCAACCGACTGGAAATGATCAAAAGCAGGAGCTTGATGCTGGAGCCCTCTTTGTCATCAAATCTAAAGGTAAGTTGTTCTCTTGCTTGCCACCCTTATCAGAAATTTTTTTTTTTTTTGGTAAATATCAGAAATTTTCATTTGTTCCTCTTTTCTTGCTTTCCTTTCTTTATTTGTTCTTTTCTTCTTGCCCATTTCATTAAAGCCCATCAACGTATATTCACCTTTGACTAAACGCCGTCGATGAAATAGACATGCATGATTGATGATTATCATAATAAATCTTTAAATTTCAAGAAAGAGGTGCTTTTCGGCAGTAAATTTTGTTATTTTTTTTCCACTTTTAGACCTATCTATGCTTCTTCAAGATAGGAGATGGTGTTGCTATGAGCTCTTTTCTGCATTAATAATGCAGTAATTCCCGCATACAAATACAATGGATCAATATACATCACCGGGAAAAAAATTACATCACAAATATATACATATTATATGTTAAAATTCGACTGGTAAACCCTCCAAAAAATCCAAAAGGCTAAAGAAGTCTTGATGATGAGAAAGAAAAAGAGTCTTACCTTGTTGTTCTTGTTGTTGCTCTCGGCCAGAATCAAAAACAAAAAAAAAAAACCAAAGAAAAGAGGAAGAAGATGAGAGAAATTAGAAGAGTGAGACTGATGATGAAGAAAGGAGAGGACAAATGGGCATTTCTGACTCCTCGGTCTCCACCCCACCAGGTAATCACGATAAAGTTAAGGGAAAGAACAATAAAAGGGCACAAATATGGTTAAAATTACAAGAAAGCCCAACCAAACATTAATAAACGGACACACAAATCTCCAAATTTACGGGCAAAACCGGACCACCAAGGGCATTATAGAGAAAGAAAATGCAAAGTCAATATCAGAAAATTCAGGAGCCACAAATTTTACCTTTATGCCACATTGGAAAGACCAAAATACCCCATGAAACCATGCGAATTACCATCGAGATCGGCCCATTGTCAGCACATTTGCTCCAATGTGAAGCCTATAGACAAAGCAAAAGAAAAAGCTCCAAATTCATCAACTTCAGCAAAACACTAAACCCCCCATTCTTCTTATATACAAGGTAGATTTCAAAAAAAGGCAAATCATGAGATGGTGGCCCATGCAGGTCTCGAACCTGCGACCTTCGCGTTATTAGCACGACGCTCTAACCAACTGAGCTAATAGGCCGCTTGTGTCAATGAGCTACAAATAGCATTAGATAATTGAAGTGACGTTTTTTAAGTCTGTCTCTATCAACTCATGAATGATGATGCATTATTGGCAGACGACTGAGGATAGCGTTGGTGGTTGTATGCATCATGTGTGTTATTTAACGTGTCCAGGACAGTTATCAGAAAAGCCCTGAAGCCTCACCATTTGGTTTTTGATTTGAAATAGTTTTGACGGCAAAAATTAGTCAGGAAGCCAAGATAGAGTAGCACAGCCACCTTTACCCAAACAAGCCCGTGAGTTGTCTTCAAGTCTTTCATTTTGTTAATTTTTCTAAAGAATTATTAATAGCCTTTGTTTGGATTGTGATTTTTCATAAAAAAATATTTTTTTTTTTACATTTTTCGTAATTACATTTCTCAATCACCTTTTCATATCATCTCTATCAAATTATTATTTCTAAAAATAGCAATCCAAACGGACCTATGAAGTTTCGCAACTACACACCCCATCTCCCCGAGTGGGCATAAAATTATTTTCTGATTGTATGTAAACTAGTAATTTAAGTTCATTAGGTGAAATGAAATGAAATTCCTTCTCCAAGTGCATACCCTCCCCCACCGTTTAAAATGACAAGTCATCCATGATTTAATTAATGCTAGTCAATTCAGCTCCCAAAAAATAATAAACGAATTTTTTATTTTAAAAAAAAAAAGAAGAAGACGGCAATGGGTTGAATTTTAAAAATAGCGAGAGGATCGAGTCAATGGACTGCAATCACATTTGAATATGGAGAACGAAGTGTGTTTGGATAGAGTATTATTTGAAATATTATTTGAAATAAGTACTGTAGCACTTTTTGTGATGTGATATATGTGAGATAAAAAATAGTTAAAAATATAAAAAAATGAATTGAAAAATGTGTTTATAATGCAAGTAAAATATTATTTCGGATAATTTGGCAATCCAAACACTAAAATTTTCTGTTTTTTGTTTTCCCTATTTTTCGGTGGATGTAATTCATTCATCTAAAATAGAATGGGAATACTGGATACGGCTTTGCAGAGCATGCATCAGAGGGCAGCGACGGCCTTGACGAGAAAACCGAAGAGGGCGAAGGGAGCAGAGAAAAATGGGCTATGATCACTTTCCAAAACGTAGACAGCAGAGGGTGGCCATCTCTTGATCATTGCTTCTTGTTGTGCCGGCTTCACCACTCGATCGTACGCGGTTTTGATGTAAATCCTGGGCACTAATTTGTTCACTGCATCTTCCCTCTCACTCCCTTCTTCTCCTTCTCCTTTGAATCGAGCTGAAGTGAGTGCTCGAATGGGCCCGGGACGCACCAACATTGCTGCTAATGTGGAATCCTGGTCCATGCATCATCAACAACTTCATATTTTTTTTTTATATTTGACAGTTTTTGGCTTTTTTGATTAATATCTCTAAGGAAGAAAAAAAAACCCGCCAGCCATTTTGATTTTTAAGAAAGTTCAACATTGAACCAGTAGATAGATGCACTTTTTAGCAGGAAAAATAATAATATATTTACCTCTTCGGGGCACATTTGATAGTTGAGTTTGCGGAGCAAGTGTTTCTTGATAACTACACTAGTTGGAGGCTGATCGAGCCCTGAAGCGAATCCAACGTCATATACATCGCCAAATTCACCAATATCAGAAAAATCGGGAACACCCTGTTCCAAACACACACCTCCGTCGTTAGTTAAGACGAAAATCTTTTGATTCCTAGAATTTCATAATTTCAAATTCCAACAACACAAGGAAAATAAATAGTGAACCGGCCAGTGTAAGTATAGAATATAGATCACCAGACAAGTCGGGGCTCCTGTTTTCCGCTACAGTTTTAGTCAGAACACCAGACATTGGATAATGGATAGCACAAAAACAAACGAGGAAAGCTTGATGAGGCGGACAAGACAGGAGCTGAGCTAAGACAGTTGGCAAGCAATTGGCCACCACGTCCAAATCCTAAATGTCATCACCCTGAACGCCCCATATGACTCCCCTTCTTCCTGTAACCTACTTTGACTGTAACCCTCCAACCTCCGTTCTCAGTCTGCCCATCAATTTATCCGTTCCATGTTTTCATCTCTCTTGTCATTGTCATCTAAGACAAAAACCCTCATTCATTTTTAAACCCAGAAAAAAAAAAAAAAAAAAAAAGTGCCCTGTAGCACCCTCATGAGTCATGCCATATTTCAGTCCAATTAACTTGCAAGTTGGAAGCTATTTCTCCTTTTCATTCGACCGGGGAATTCATCATACATTTATCATCACAAACGGATTTGTATTCATTTCTTATTACCAAAGTAATACAACAGACAACTGAAGATGACGAAGTCGATGAAACCGAGAAATGAATAAACTTACGTCTTTGACGTCTTGTTCATTCAGCATCCCCTTCTTTAACATGGTCGCTGCAACATAGACTGCAAGGCTGACTTTCTTCGGGAACTTGTAAGTTGCATCCGTGACATTAAGCCCTCCGGCGCTGTGGCCTACCAAAATCACCTGCATTAAGTTAGAAGCCATAAGTACGCTTAGAAGTCAAACAAATTAAGGCCCTCGGATTCTACTAATCAATGAGTTCTTCATAATCACTTGCTATCTTTATGAAGTAATGTTCCCTTGGCTTGGGAAAGAAAGATGCACGTATTCAAAAAGGGTCAAGTACCTGTTCATCGCCAGGCAAGGCTGCCAAGAAGTCCAGGAGAGGCTGGTTGTAGTCTTGAAATGAAAAAATGGTATTGGGATCGGTTTGATCCAGGCCAGCACCTTTGAGGTCAATACAGGAGACTTTATACCCGGAATTCTCCATCAAGCATCTGATCTTATACCAGCACCATCCACCATGACTTACCCCATGTACCAGCACAAAGTGTACTGGCTTCCGCTCCTGCTCATGATGACTTTTCGTTGCCCTATGTTGATCACCTCCGTTTTCTTGATCTCTCCTTTTTTCTTCTTCCACCCTTTCTCCCATGGGGTACTTCTAGTTCTAGCTAGATTATTATTTTTTCCTTTGTGTCAACTCTCCCTCCCTCCCTCCCTCTCTCTCTCAAGTCTGAACTAATATGTCTCCTCACGTCTCAATTCTTGATGGAATGTTACAGCTTATACAGTACTAAATAACAAGTAACCATCTGGTCGTTGGATTATTTTGAGTCTGCGTTGTCCTAATTCGGTTGCCTTGTATGGCTGGTTTCTATTGGCAAGTGTCTTGTAATGCTGTATTGCTGTTGGTGGAGGTGGACCACTTGAAAACCATAGGTTTTATTTATTGACTTCTTAATTCACGAACGATCACAATTTGCAGGGACAAAGAATCCCAAAAACGTTACTTCCCAATTTAATTGTCAGGAGATGAAAACAAAACATGCACACAATAAAGTAATACTACCAAAATCACATCTCAATCAAGAAAACAGAAATTGGAAAAAATGTCACGAGTTTTGTTTAGACTTTTCCACACAAATTGGAAAGCCACCCCTATAAGCCTAAAAGACTACCAGGCCTGTTCCGTGGAGGGAGTGATCCAAAATGAAATTAACACTACTGTATTTACTAGAACAACAGTTACATGCCATCATAATTGCCATTGCAAACATTTTAATTTTCTGGTTTTTGAATATTAATTAATAATTAGTTCTCTTTTGGGAACTGGTATTTGTGTTCGATGCCAGAGCAAGAACTTTGAGTGTGTTTGCTTATCGTCAAGATAATTGGATTTTAAAATTGACGTGGGATGGCTTTTGACTTGATTTGCTCATTATATTTTAATCCCACGATTAGTACTACCACCAGCCTGTTTATCTATAGATTTACAGGCCGACAACACCTGTCTTTTCCTGCAAGAAGCTAGCAAGCTAGCTAGCTGTTTCCAATTTATCTTCTAGGTTCCAGCGTGTGCATTTAAGCAAGGCACAAATAGCCAGCCTGCTAAAGAGCAAGAAAGATTGAAAATTACAAGAACAAGCCACGAATAGGAAACCAATTAATTTTTTCGTGAAGGCATTGGTTCGGTGTCTCATGTGACCAAATATTTGTTGTTTTCGGAGCTTTGTGGATGTTTTCTTGTCCATGTTACTGTGTGTTTTTGTTGTAAGGGATTGTTACATAAGCAATAATCTGTACGAGATGCTGCAAGTGAGTGATAAAGCACTAATGGAGGTGATGACAAGTGTTTATGTATGATCAGTTTATGATTAAATCATCATACTGTGGCTTTTTTTAGCGCAAGTACGGTTTGAGGAAAGAGGAATTGATGCTGAAAAAGTTGTGGATTGCCTGGGGAGACGAGCCCTCAATGATATAAAGCAGCTTTTTGCTGCACAGTTCACGATTGACAGCTAAGACTTTACTTTACTTTGTAATTTGTAGTACTAACAAACCGCAGTAATCGGCAATTAAAATAGTTTACCGGTAATTTAAAGTCAATTAATCAACTTCAACGGTAATTATTCCTTAAAGAATATTTCTCAATGCTTGATGGTTTAATCAGTTCAGAATTCCCATTTCTTCCTCCAGTATGGCTTCTCGAAACTACTACCACCGTATAAGATATTGCATCCAAATGTATCATTCGTTCTTGTTATTGTTCTTCTTCTTTTTTTTTCCCTTTTTCTCTACTTTAGGGTCGTTATATTTAAGATAAAATATTAAAAAATTTCTTGTGCTTCATCAAACGTTCAATTTAACTTCCTTGGAATTGAAAAATCTATACTATAACTCCATGTGGGTTTCAACTAAATTGAAAACTAGACGAAAAGCATCCAAATTAACGGTTGTACATAAAAATGTCAATATTGCCTATATATAAATGAACTCTATGTAATTTGTCAAATGTTCAATTTAACTTTCGTTGGTTTAAAAAAACTAAACTATAACTCTCTGTGAGTGATTTCGATTAAATTGAAAATTTAACATAAAGCATTTCACGTAAAGTTGAAGCAATATTGACATTTCACACACGACCATTAGATCGGATGCTTTTCGTCCAATTTTTAATTTAATCGAAATCACAATGATCTATAGTGTACGTTTCCAAATTGGAGAAAATTAAATTGAGCATTGGATAAATTACAAGGAATTGTTTTGATATTTTTCCCACATGCATAAAAGACCAACATTGTTAAAAGAACATGTTGGAGCAGTACTTGCTCTCCAGCTTCCGGAGCCACCAACAAAAACAAAAATTGTAATTTACCACCTATGAGAGTCAGGTATTAGACGCTTCCTCCCAATGATTCCGATTCAAAAGTAAAGAGAGGAAAAGAAGGCATGAGAAAGTTGTTATCAACGAGGATTTAAAAAGGTCAAACACTATCCCAATCTTCAATTGGATTTCTTCCTTTCGGAAGGCTGCAAAATCTGATGCGCGGTTTGTGTTTCTTTTTTTCTATGTCACTCGTTGAATCTCGACAAAAGAAAAAAGTTCCTCATATTTATGTCACTCGTTGAATCTCGACAAAAGAAAAAAGTTCTTCATATTTACGCAAGAGGTTGAATTGTTCTGAAAATTGGGAAATTATTGAGTTCAATGTATGTGCCACATCATATTTTGCACTGACACTTCATCTAATTGACGCAAAATGTATACGGAGTTGTTCTACCGAATTAAAGAATCAAACCCATTGGATGTGCTGAATAAGTTTTCTCATGGGCGATTGAAAAAACTGCAAAATATCAATAAGGACAGAAATTTTTAAAAAATGTTCATTGACCGTTGACAACAATCCGGGCCGGTTCTTAATGCAAGCCGGCCAGTACTGCGGTCGGAATGCAGTGGCACTTCAAATGTCAGGGTTTAGCCATGGAGATACAAGTCGAAATCGGGTCGCCCGGGCCGGGTCAACTAGTATAACGAATCAAACCTGTGCTGGTAATTGTCCAATCCTCCATTTGGGAAATGAGCCTTTATGATTTGAGAAGACAAAAAAAGTTTTGCAAGACCTGTAAAAGAAAATCCATGAAAGGGCCCCTGCAAATTTGCAGTGGTGGTGGTGGTGGTGGAAACTGGGGAATAGTGAAGTGGAGGAAGATTTATGCACGTGTGCATGTCCTCGGTTGTAGTACTGTTTCCCCTCAAGGAAGAAGCCAAGTGATCTGTCCAGCCACGTTGGGATGTCTCCGCAAGTGGGCGACACTACTTTATGAAAATAGTCCAATGTTTGTTCGTTTTCTGTCAATTCTCCCATTTCACCTCTTCCCAGTTTCATGTATCCGCCCATCAATTGCAGTGGTTTTGGTGACTTATGGCATTCAACTCTTCTGACATTCACGTTCGTTTCCAAGAATAGTGGATGGTTGAGGTTCGTCAACACAGTTGAACGGTAGAAGCCTGTAAGCTGAACTTTTCTGTCTAGTAATAAACCTTCTTGTATTATCCAGACTTTGAACTTTTTTTTTTTTTTTATTTAATCAGTCAAATATGTGACATTCTTCTCCCAATAATGAATAGTGTAACTGAGCTGTCTATATTCCCAACACATTTGCATGCTCGAGAGAGAGGGGGCAGATTTTGCAATTAAAAATAAAAAAACCGCCGACGTAGACATGTAGTTTTTTTTTTTTTTTTTTTGTCAATATGATAGATTATTCTGTACTAGGAGGAGGGAGAGGGCCTGAAAAGGTCCAAAAATAATTCGGAGAGAACTGAACTAATACCGGACCAGACAGATGCACTATGTGCCCGCCTGAATTTTTGAAACAGAGCCATTTTAATGTGTCAAATTGGTGGAAGACAATGGTTCAACCCTTACCTTCCATCTCACCAAGTTTTAATGCATTAGTGATGGTCACCGCCCAAAAGCTGGTGGTTGGAGATGTGTAGTCTATGGTAGTGCAAATTAGGCCCCCCACAGAGGTTTGAATCTCAATTCAATCCCTCGAGTTAATAGTAATCTCAATTTCAATTTGATTGTTCAAAGTAGTAAGACGTATTTGGGTCCGTCGAATTTAGGAAGTTTCATTTTGGTCTTCCAAAGTAGTACGGAATCTCATTTTGGCCAATCATGCTAAAAAAATCTAAATGTGATCCTATACAAACGGAGAAAGCTGTTCTAATAGATCCTTCAAATTTAGTTTACTTAAGGCACTAGTGGTAGAAAATAAACAAATTCTATGTTAGTTGCTATACAAGAACAACCACACCGTATCGTTTTCAATTATAAATTTGCAATTTCTTTTGTTGGTTACTGTGATTGCACTATAGTATTTATCTTGGCAAAACGAAGATGCTTGTAATATTGAAATCACCAAAATACGAAAAGCTTGTAGTAGAATGATGAACAAATCTCTGTTAGTTTCTATTTTGGAAATTCAATTCTTATATATTGTTATTCAATCGTGAGTAGAACGAGCTTGGGGACCGATTGAGGGAACAAATAAAAATTTTGTGCTATTTTAGACAATCAAAATATGACCTTCTCAATTCGAGAGATCAAATTAAGACGTTTTCCTACTTTGAAGGATTAAACCGCAACTTTTTTAAATTCAAGGGATAGATTTTGAACCATTTTAGAGAAATCAAAATGAGATTTTAAACCATACAGGCTCAATTTCATGTAGGACTGCAAACGAATCGAGCGGCTCGAGTCGAGCTCAGAATATTAAGCTCTTTAGCTCGCGAGCCGGCTCGCGAGCTTGAGTATATATATATATATTTTTTTATTTTTTTTAATTTTTATTTAATAATAAAATTACGTATATTATATATATATATATTTTATTTTCATAGTAAAATTACGCATATATCCTTAATATTTTATTATTTATTAAGAAAAAAAATATTATTTTATTTATTTTTTTAAAAATAAAATAATTATTTTTTATTTTTTTCGAGCTCGAGCTCGAGTTTGGTAAAATTTAGTCGAGACTCGGCTCGATTAGCTCAAAGCTCGACTCGGCTTGGCTCGTTTGCAGCCCTAATTCCATGTCATGAACTTGGGATTCCATTTTCGCATCGGAGAAAGGGGGGAGGGGGGACGAGGCGTTGAATGGATTCGGAAACATCACACTTCCAGCAATTTTATTGTGTATTTAAGAAAAAACTCTAATTTGAAGTTGAAAATACACCGAATGTCACGAGTTTATAATTTTTCTTATTATAGATCTAAGTAGTATCACAAACGGTCTAATTTTAAAAGTTATAAATACATACAAAATTTTCTCAATCATTACTTTTCACCGCCTAGAAATACCAAAAAATCATGTGAGTGTATAAAAATAGGGAGTAGAGATTTCTAAAATCTAGAGATAAAGATATACAAGGAAAAATAGGTTCAAGGGCATCATGATTGGGCTCTAAAGCAGGTTCCCATTTTCCCTTTTCTTACCCTACCTACATGTTTGGTTTAGCTCTAAAATGGGTTCTACATAAAAAGTTTTAGTTACATTAATGGTCTAATCAATTTCGAGCACAAGTCACCAGAGAAGAATGACGAGTAGGAGTGTGCAAAATAAAAAATTCCGATTTACCGATCGAATTCGGATTTTTCAAAATTGGTAATTTGGAATTCGCCACTGAAATTGGAATTTTCGATTTCGAATTATGCGAATTTAGTTCAAATTCGGTAATGGAATTTTTGAAATCGGAATTTCCGATTTTGAATTCATAATTCGGAATCGGAAATTGAAATCGAAATTTTCGATTTCAATTTCATTTTATAATATATAAGTATATATAATAATATTTTTTTTTCAATTTCTTTTTTTAATATATATTAAAATATTTTTATAATATATGTAATATATGTAACAATACATCTAACAAAAAAGGGGAAAAAGGTTTTTGAATTCACGAATTCAAAATTTACCAAATTTTGAATTGAATTCGGAACTGATGCTGCCAAATTTTTGAAAAATTTTAAATTCAAAATTTCGAATTATTGAATTTGAATTCATTGCACACCCTTAATGACGAGGGCTTGATTTAACTTTCATTTACTTTTTTTTTTGACCAGAACTTTCATCATTTACTTAAAAATGACTAAATTACTTGCGTTTGGTAGTACATCTTCTCTTAATCAAAATGTAAACCCCGTCTCTGCTCTGCAGCCAAAAGATAACGCAACATATGGATCTGGACTTTAAACCATGTACAAATGGGCGGGCTCTAATCCATTCAAGCACCCTGTACAAATTATTTTACTAGTAGTTGGATTATACAGAATGGAGTACAGACAGCCAACCAACAAAAGGCGGGAATTTCAAAAGTTGAACTGCAAAGGCGGGAACAAGATGTCCTGGTTTCAAGAATTTCTGATCTTTTTTTAGGAATCCCAAGTCATTGTCGTTGGCGGCGGTGTAAGGTGAATTATATGTATCCGCTGTCGGTCTCCTTCCTTTTTAGATCTTCCAAATTTGAACTCTCTCTCTCGACAAATTCAAAATCGTCATCAAATTTCATCTGGTTTAGCTTCCAAGTTTCAATAAGGTTAGTTCCCAAAACTCATTCAGCTCCGGCATAGTATGCAAACTTTATACCAGGATTTTATTTTGCAACTGCTATTTCATATCAGTATTTAAGGTTTACTAATTTTCTTCTAAGTCTCGTGTTGTTAGATATCAGCTTAGCCCATAGGTTGATTATGCAACTAAATTAGGCTAGGTTTTATGCTAATTTTCCTTAATGCTGACGTGAATTTGCCAAAGAACATCTATCATCTCTGCGTTATAAGAATTTATGTTATATTTGGAGACTTGCTTTAAACTCGAGCTCCAAGTTTCAGATCTTGTCTTTCGGCACCTTTTGGCTTGTTGAATGATTTTATTTAGTAAATTTGTAATGCAGTGAAATTTTCTTAGTATTGGAGCTCAATTTCAGTGGGAGTTCTCTCTTGATTTGATTTTTCAGCAAGAGATCTTGGTTCTCAAGAGCACTAGTGAGGGAAGATGGACAAAGTTGAATCAAAGAGCTCAGATTTGGTCTGGTGCAATGGCGAAATCCGTCCCTTCCATCCTAATTGCCTGGCGAAAAACGTAGAAGGTGAGCTCACTGGGCTCTTGACTCTTTAGCTTTTCCTATGTGGCCGCATTCTGATTTTCTTGTTTGGTATTGCTACTCTTTGTTTTTGGGTAGGTAAGATAGTAGTATTGCTACTCTGTTGCCACAAACGATCGTATAGAATTGACTTGTTATTCGAGTGTATCATTGAAAAGGAATATCATGCAGGGGTCGATCAGAAAATCAAACAAATGGCTGAGATAATTGAACAGGTTGGAGATCTTCCTGCTGATAAACCCGAGAATAAATATCAAAACCGCCTTCAGTTGATTGCTCTTCTGGAGGAAATTAGCCAGGGGCATCAACTGCTGGCTCAACAGTATGATCACTTGCTTGAAAACCGTGTTGCTTCTCTAGCTCATCAAGACTCATCCATGCTGACTCCCGATCACAGGCTGGGAAAGCAGAAAACTGAACAGCAACCTGTTGCTTTTACTTACCCCCTCGGCTCTGGCAGCAGCAGCTCTAATGCTTCAGGAAAGGAAGGTTCTCAATTTTCCTCGCTATCATCAGATTCTGATTCTGAATCTTCTAATGCGTCTCCTAAGACATGCTTCAGCTTGAATTTGAGAAATTCTGGACAAATGCAGAAAGGAGAATATGTGGTGAAGGAGTCTGGGAATTCAGAGTATGGTTTGATAAACGCGAGGGACACTGATGAGTATAATATGCTGCTTTCGACAATCTCCAGATACGAAGAAGAATTGAGAGCTTCAAATGGAAAACTTCTCTCTTCAGAAGATGAAATTATGAGGTTGAATAGTGAGCTTGAGAATGCCTTGGTGACCACGGATAAGTGGAAAGCCCAACTTGAGACAACTAAGAACGAGGTGAAAATGATGGAGGTTGATCTTGATGTAGAGAAAAGGAAGGCGTCAGAGCTTGAAATGCAAGTTGCTATGTTGGAAAGCAAGGTGTTTGACTCTAGTTCCCAGATTGAGACACTAATGGAAGAGTTGCAATTAACGGGAAAAAAGTTAGGAATTTCAGAGGCAGAGCTTTCTGAGTTGAAGCGTGCCCAATACGATAGAGATAATGAGATAAGGAAATTGACAGCTTCACTGCAGGATGCCTTGAGAAATGCCGAAATGGAGAAAGCATGGTTTCAGTCTCATAATTCTAGTTTATTGGAAAATCTGACACTTCTAGAGGCAAGACTTGCAGAACGTGAGATGCAAATCAAAACATTGGAAAATGAGATCAGGAAATGCGAAGGTTTGTATGAAGCACAGGGGATCAGATGGCAAGGTGACATTGAGGGATTCAAAACGCAGCTGAATGAGAAACTCGAATTAGTGGAATTTTTAAACAAATCCCAAGATGGGCTGAAACTGAAGTACGACATGCTGATGGCTGAGAAAGACGGGCTTAATGCTAAGGTACAAGCACTTACTGCGGAGCTATGTTCTCAAGAGAATAATATTAGACAACTGGAGGGTCATCTGCACAAATTGCAATCACAAAATGGGGAGCTAATTGCGGCTTCTGAAACTGCACTCAAATTTAGGGATGAACTTGGATTGAAAGTGGAGAATTTAGAGAAAGAAGTGGCAAGGCAGGCAGCCATGATCTCAGACAGAGCTGAGGAGAAAAGAGAGGCCATACGGCAGCTATGTTTCTCACTGGAGCATTACAGAAGTGGGTATCGGGAGCTCCGCCAGGCATATGTTGGGCAAAGGAGGCACGCAGTAATTGCTTCTTTATCTCGGTGAATTCTAAGAGCAATCTTATGTTAAAGTTTACAGTTCTATATTTTCTTCTCTATGTTTAAATGCTTTGTTGATGCACTAATATCGATCCTTTAACTTCCAAAAAAAAAAAAAAAAAAGAGGCGTTTTCTTTAATCAGGTTTGTATCATGGCGAGGTCTGAAACTTGGGTTCTGCCGACACTCACGATAAACCCTATTCTGTTTAGTCCACATGGTGGAGATCGTGTCATCAGCTGTTGTAGGTTGTACGTCTATTTCAGTCTGAAGCAGTCATAAGGAGTGAACATGCGCTTTTAGAATGTGGGTAACTGCAGATGTTTGAACCACTTTTTCTATTCCATGTTGGGGGTTAATGTGTGAAATTCATCAGTTCCCCTCATCCTTGACCGGACTAAATTGAACCAGGAGGAAATTCAAAATTTAAGTACATAACGAGGGCTCCCACTAGAAAAAGAACTAAAGAAAAATACGCAAAATGAGAGCTGATAGGACTTGAACGAGTGTGCCGGTCAGGCCCTGATGCATGGATGTAAAAGGTGTTCTCTTACATTACAAAGATGAAATCTGAAATTTGTCTATTGAGCATTTGATTTCCTATGGGAAAATATATAATACTAGTTCTTTAGTCATCGTATTTTATGTGAATCGTACGATTCTTAGTCTTGTTTTCAAGATCTCCTCTGGACTTTGAAAACGTAGCCTGCAAATTGACTAATTTTGTTGATAGAGTCAGCAAAAATTAGTGGATTACAAATGCCTTAAGGTCAGAGTTTGTTTCCTACCACTACCAGTTGTTCATCACTTGGTTTTCTCTCCGTCATATGTCCGTCCAGTAGTGGTAATGAAAGTCTGTTTGACTTTTGCGTACAAGTGGTTATTGCTTGTTCAAGTGTGGTTTGAGTTGACTTTTTGATTGTCGATATGCTCAATCTCCAGATTGGAAGGTATCTAATAACTATCGCCGTGTACTAAGTCAAAAGACTCCTCAGTTCAAATATGTATTTGCGCAGTGTTTAGTGCATCTCCCAAATCTCATGAAGGACTGGTACACGACACTGTTAATAATTGACTCACAATTATTATATTTTTAATCTCTTTTGTAAAATTTTGTCGTAATTTAGCTATATCAAACAAAAATTTGCCTCAGGACCAACATACACTTGTCCTGGGTAAAACCATTTGGGTTTACAAAGGGAAAAAAGGGAAGAAGAAAAAGACATGGGAAAAAACTCTGAAACCATTATGTTCTACAAAGAAAGAAAGCTACTAAAACGTAAGGGTTGAATGTTTAATCTTGTTATTTTCCCCAATTCTTCTCCAAATATTTAGGACTAATCTTGTTGATGTGTAGTTATTTATGACTCTATAATGGGCCCTCAAAAAATCCTATCCAGTTTAAGGGTAACTCTATATTGGATAGTCTTTTAGCGGTTGGATAGAACTGCTATCGGTTACGGGTCCATCTTTTTTTTTTTCCCTTTCTTTAAAAAAAAAAAATTTAAGTGAGAGATCTCAAATTTGTGATCTCTTACTTATACTCCTTCCTTCGTATTATTCAATTCATCTCTCCTTCTCAGCTTTGGTCAGTTAACTTTGGCAACGCTGAACTTGCAAAAAAAAAAAAAAAAAAGAAGTAAACCATTTTGTGAAAGTCGATTAATTAAAGCTTAGCCATCACAAATTTGGTCATCATTGAGAGTTTTGGGATTACATTAGGAAACTTTAGAGTTCAAATTTAAAAGGTCATTGAATTTTACAGTATTAGAACAACTATATTAATTGGCGATTAAGGTACCCATTATGTGTATCTAATAAAAAAAATTTGGTAAAAATTATTCCCTTCTCTCAGCGGATTTAGAGACAAAACAACAATAGAATTATACAAGCTGGAACTTGTATTAATTAGTAAAACACCATACAGGAATTCCCGCACACATGAGATGATTAAACATAAACCTACTTTCTCGATCTTCAAGTTTACAACAGTGTAGATCCACTCGTTTTTCAGCACAATTATTTTGTCAAATTAGCAGAGACGACAATGCTAAATTATTGTGCTGGATGATTAGTACTAACTAATAATATACTAATAGTATGCTTATTTAGGGAGGATCCAACTGAATCAAAGGGATGCTGAGGAAGAGTATGATTCCCATCTCTAAATTAAATAAGTAGTACGCCATAACATAGTTTGTGGGGTGAGAGATTAAAGATTCAAATTTTATATTTCATCAAAGTTGACATTTAATGTGATTTCTCTTAGATCCCTTTGGGTACGTAATGTATTTGTATGATTTGATAATGATTCAATCCCCGTTGATTTACCTATAACATGTTAGAGTAAGAGTACGTGTAGACGGTAATAATTAAAAAAAAAAAAAACTCCTAACCAAGCTTGTGGCCGCTCACTTAAAAGTAGAGGTGGCAAATCAACCAACTTAAATAAATTTACCCATACCCGCCCATGAATAGATGTGTATGGGTATCTTAAATTTTTGTATATGGGTATAAATGGGTTACCCAATAATACCCATTTAATAAATGGGTATTATTGGGTAACACATCAAACCCAATTAACCCATTTAAAATTCTCTTCCCCTAAATCTCTTCTTTTCCCCCACCCATTTTTTTTTCCAAAATTTTCATTTTGTTATGATGTTGACTACTTTTGTTTCATTATTATTATTATTTGTTGGTTTTATTTTATTATTTTATTTTCTCTTAGTTTGTTAACTTGCTCATTTTTCGGCATTATCAATTTATGATAAATTTGAGTCTCTTTTCTTATCTTTCTAAAATGAAATTTTAAATTTATATATGGAAAAAATGTTAGGGGTTAAAAATTTTTGGATTAAATTTTTATATTAACTTTTATAGTATTTAGTTCAAATTTTTATATTCTTATTATTCAATTATTAAATAATATGTAATTTTGTGAAATAGAGTATAAATGAAAAAAATTTGGTAATTAGGCTTATTGAACATTATAAGTAAATATTTAAAACTAATGATGGGTACAAAGAGCGGTATAAATTGATAACTTAGTTTGCAAAAATGAATTTTAATGAATTTTAAAAAAATTAAAATAAATGGGTTATAAATGGGTAATTGGGTTATCCAATTCATTTTTTGACTTACCCATTTATATCCATATAATTAAATGGATATAAATGGGTTGACTCACTTATACCCATTACCCATTTTATCCAACCCAAACCCGCCCAAGTCACCCATTTTGACACCTCTACTTAAAAGCCAGTTGTTTAGAATAGCATTAGTCCGAGTTGCAAGTTGCAGGTGTTGTGCTGACATCAAGGATAGCAAGGGCAGCCTTTCACTGCTGTGGTTTCCACATGGCATTCGATTATTTGGTGTGCTTGCATTTTTGCTTTATTAGCGTGGACGGCCACGTCATCAGCTTTTATGGCAAATCTATCATTTGGAGCTGTCCGATCCGTTGGTCGGCTCTGGCATTAACTCCTTTGCTTATGGATCCGTCCAATCACGATTCGGATTTGTGTTGTGGGAGACTTTTGGGTCTACCCAATATAAATGATGCTGGTAGAATGGATGGGCTAGCCGGTGATCATGAAATTGTGAAATAATACCACAACAGAGAACAAAGACTACCAGTGCCAAAGTGGTCCACACAGGCAAAGTGGCCATGGCTTGAGCCTTGAGGGTAGGGGCTATTGCTCGGGTGGATCGGTTTGATAAAAACTCGTCTCAAATTTGATATTAATAAAACTCGAGTTAAACTTGAGTATAGAAAAACTTAATTTGTTAGTTTAAGTCGCTATATATATATTTTAATAGTAAAAAAATATATATATTGTTAATATTTTATTATTTATTAAAAAATTATCATTTTATTTATTTTTTAAATATAAAATAATTACATTTTATTTTTTTAAATTCGAGTAGGATCGAACGGGAACTCGACTCGACTTCAATTTGAGGTCGAGATCAAGTTTGCTAAAATTGAGTCGAGACTCAATTCAATTCAATTAAAACTCGATTCAAAACGATTTGTTTGCAATTCTAATCAAGAGGGGGAGGGAAGCTCATCCCCGGGACTCGGTGTGTGAGCGTGTGTGAAATATGCGATGCTTTCATTTTACGGTTTGTCATGGGTTGACGGATGAATGCAAGGTGTCCAATTTACAGCTGTCATGGGGTGTTTTTGTTCTCCGGTAAACGGCAGTCTTGACACGCCGCGAGTTTAACAGTACGTATTTACGGAAGAAAAAAAAAGAGAGAAAAATGCTTTTCCTGTTTGGGGCTGGGAGTGGTCCGCCTGACTCGTTCTTACGCGCTCCCGTTTTGGTTGACGGACCCGTCTTTAAAACATTCCTTTTCTGGTTAAGCATTATTATTATTTCGATATTATTTTTAATAAAAAGTTAAAATATTTCTTACATATGTTTTTTTAGTTACTTTTTCATCTCATGTACCATGACATTATATCGTCAAAATATAAATTTATTATGAAAACTGCAATCCCAACGAAATTTTTGAAGAGGTTAAGCAGAAACCATTCTGATGTAAAAAATTTATCGGAATTCGTGGAGCTTTGCCACGATGATTAGAAAAAGGAGGAATTTGCACGGTTTAAAGATGAGTCCTTCTTAGGAAAGTGACTGTTACTGAGGTTAATCAATAATATCTTCAAATCGAAGGGTTCCCAAAAAAAAATCTAAAGTTTGTTTGGATTGAGTATTATTTGCCAAAATTTATTTGCTTACATCATCATCACAATTTCCAACACACCTTTTTATCTTCCCAATTATCTTTTTATCTCACATACATCACATCACAAAAAGTGATACAGTAAAAATATCTCAAATAATTTATAATCCAAACAGATCATCATCAGGTTCTAACCTTTGCAGTAAAATTCAAAGGATATGATATATAATGCATTTCTTTGATTAAGATGTGGGATTTTCTCCTTTTAACTCATTTTGATCCAATTGAACCCTCTCCCTGATACAAAAGTTTTGATCCAATTTTAACTCATTTTGATCCAATTTAACTCAGTTTGAATGAGAGTAAAAGCAAGAGTTGTTGATTAAAACAAAAAAAGGGATTGACAAAGCAACTAAAATAATGAGAAATGAGTAGTAGAATT